ATCCTTCGTGCAACAGTTTCCAAAGCTGCAATTGTCGCTACAACAAATTAATAAATAAATTACTTAGTTTATTAAGATATTGTAATGTTTCCTGAATTAAGTTGTGCAATATTAGAATTATTTTTTTCTAACTTTTTATCTATCTGACTCGTAATTTTCTATTTTATTTCTCTGTACTATAGATTATTTAAAAGACAGTGACCATAAATAGTTGTATGAATAAAAGTGAGGGTAATCCCTCACGGATAAACGGTAAACCTCCAACTTATAATCGAGGGTAAAATTGAAGGCAAGAGAGGAATGGGACGCAAGAAAATGTCCTGGCTCCGAAACATAAGGCAATGGACAGGGATTAACGACATACAATCTCTGATACATATTGCAAGAAATAGAGAGTTAATGGAAAATGTGATCGCTAACATCCATTAGTGGATTTGCATCTGAAGAAGAAGAAGAATAAAAGTGAACCGGTACTGACCTGTAACACCTACCTGTAAGATATTACATTTCTCACATTTACTTAATAATATGTCTGAACATCTAGACTAGATTATAAGTAAACAGGTTTCATTAAAAATTGAAACAGCTTTTAAACTGGATGGGTATCACGCAACGTGAATCAATCATTTCTTACAATAATTTATAGTTTGTTTTACATTGTGTCCGTAAAGTATGGAACAAACTCTTTTTTAGCTGAACACCGGATTTTAAGAAATAATCCTGAAGCAAGTCGATTTTGTATTTCAATTTACCGTATTTTAAAATAATATTCTGATATACAGGGTGCATTACTTTCGAGTAATGACGTAACCGTAATTTTTTTGATTGTACACCCCCATTTTGTCTTAATTTTCGGATTACTTTAGCTGAGCTGATTCCAAAAATGTATCACATGTTGATTCAAATTGGTACTGGGAGGCCAAAAATACAATAGTTTTGTGTGTGTTCATAAAGTAACGCGTTAGTTAAATTAACAATATTATTAAAAATACTTATTGTCTAGCCTATAGAATATGATAAGATACATGACTTTATAAATATTCGAACTGCAACCCTTGCTGTATTTGACAGTAATCCAAACGTTGTACAAATTCTTGCTGAACCGTGTTTATTGTGTCTTGAGAAATATTTATTGTTGTCTGAATTCTCTGTTGTATTTCTTGAATATTTGCTGGTTTCGTTTAATACACAACATTCTTCAGATGGTCCCACATAAAATAATCCAAATTATTGTAATCTGGTGACCTCGCTGGCCATTCATCTAGGTCCAGGTCTACCAATCCAGTTAGGAAAAATTTCATCTAGATACCTTCTTACATCTATAGCATAATGTGGAGGTGCACCATCCTGTTGCAACCATAAACTTTCATCAAAACCTCCAGGATTACGTCTGCTGGGAAACAAATTACGTAAAGTAGCTACGAGATACCCCCTTAAAAGCTCAAGGTAAGTTGCCCCGTTTAAATTACCTTCGATAACGTAGGGTCCGATGATTCGATTTCTTACAATTGCAGCCCATACATTTACCTTTTGCGAGTATTGTGTATGATGCTCACGCATCCAGTGGCGGTTTTCTTTTGCCCAGTATCTACAATTCTGACGGTTAACCTCGCCATTTAACGTGAAATTGGCCTCATCATACAAATAATGTTTTGTACCAAGAGAAGGTCTCAGCAGGACGTTGCCTCGCAAAATTGCATTTTTCTATCGGGATCATCTTCGTTTAATTCCTGCACAAGTTTGACTTTATATGGATGCCATTCTTAAAGGTTTAATAGTTTGTGTACCGTTGTTTTGCTAACACCGATATCGCGACTAACTTTACGCACAGAAGTGTGCGCATCTTCTTCAAAACTTAGTAAAACATCTAATGCTGTATCAGCATTTGCAGAGGGACGACCTGATTTCCGTGCATTTTCAACCGTACCAGTTTCTCATAGTACAAGAAGTACATAGACACTTGAGTAACAAAACAGTACAATCGACACAAACTCCCGAGGAAAAATGGCACTATATTGAGAAAACACTTACAAGAGTAACAGAAGACTACCTCAAACAAGATACACGATAAAAGAACAAACCATGGATGACAGAAAAATTCTAAACATGATGAACGAAAGAAGAAAATACAGAGGTAAAAATGAAACAACATACAAGCAAATACACAAGAATATCAGAATATAGATCCAACAAGCCAAAGAAACCTGGCTAAGTGAAAGATACCAAGAAATTGAAGAGTTGGAACAAAGACATGATACTTTCAATCTACATAAAAAAGTAAAAGAAGCCGCTGAAATATTTTAACAACCTCCTACGTCTTTCATCAAAGATAAACATGGGATATACTTTGCTTTAGTGGGATAGATATAAGTACATATATAAAAATTATGAGGTATATTTATTGCGATAGTTATTAATTCAATATTATTTGAAGTCACTGGTAACTGTGTGCTCATGTGTTTTTCATCCACGTAAATTGCTACTCATCCACTGGCAATGTTTTTGTTAAATCTGTTATTATAGAAACATGAATAATTACGAAAGTTATATACATAGTTTGAATTTTTTAAATTTGTGTCCTGTAGACAGGTTATAGATGGGTGTGTTTCAGAGATAATATGTTTTAGTTTTTCAAAATGGGTATAAAATCCATTTAAGTTCGATTGAAACAGAGAAATGAATGTAATTATTTTTCTGACAATGAAGTTTTCACTGCAGGGAGTAAACCTATGTGTTTGCCAAGTTTTCGTATTAATTTGGTGCTTTTGGTATTCATTTTTTTTTGTCGATGTTATTTTGAAATTTTCATAATAACATTCACATAAAATATTACAATAAAAATCACAATTTTCTGAAACTTTATTTCAAGAAATTGTTTTTTGTTATTAAAATATTTTATTTTTGTTGTTGAATATTTAATACTACGACGTCAACAAGTTTTTAAAAGATTTTTTGCCATTGGCCATTGACACGGGTACAAAAATATCTGGAGTATTACATTATACATATATGATTATTACATTACTTAAGATAAATAGAGTAAGTTACATTATATTTAGAATGATATAGTGTTACAAACTTTGTTTTTTTTTTGAACGAACAATGTTACAATATTTGTTATATACGATAATATAATCTGCAATCTTTTAAAAAGTCAATTAGAGCACTGTACACATTTGGCGAACTGGCGAAGTATCTGTTTCAGGTTACCGTTTATATTATGCGCTAGTCTATATAGTCTATAATAACTGCACTTAACGAGTAAGTGTTTTACTGTAAGGCGCTGACAATCACAATGTTCACAAGCAGGTGGGTTTTCGAAAGTCATCAGGTATCTGTGAGTGATGCAAGTGTGTTCTATTCGGAGCCTTCGAATAATGAGTTTGTCCCTCCTAGTCATTGTATGAGTCTTAAATGAGTGTACAGTGGGATTGATTATGTGCAGTTTTGTGTTATGTCCATTCCAATGATTTTGCCATGTTTTGCAATTGTTTTGTTTTATGGTTGCTGCTAGATCTTAATAAAGTTGATTTTTTTCTAGGCTTAGGTCAGAACAACTTGCTTTTCTTGCTGCGATGTCTGCAGACTCATTTCCACGTATCCCCACATGAGATGGGGTTCAAAGAATAGTTATTGATGTTCCTCTGGTGGGGTTTTGATGACAGATGTGTTGAATTTTTTGGACTAACGGATTTAACGAGTATATGTTGGCAATAGACTGAATTGAAGAAAGAGAATCAGTGCATATAGCTAGAGATTTTGTATTAGGAGAAGTCATTTCAAGAGCTTTGAGGATACCATATAATTCTGTAGTGTGAATACTACAAGGGGTTGGTAGTCGTTGTAGAGCTAAGGTTATGTTTTCAGTACAGACCGCACAGCCAGTATTCTTTTCATCTTTAGATGCGTCGGTATAGAGAAATTAATTGTACTGTTTTGAATTTATTGCTTCTTGAAATAGTTGTCTAAGGAGGTGGTTAGGAGTGTCTTCTTTTTTATGTTGAGTTGGACCAGTATTGAAAGTAGGTAGCTTATTGGTCCATGGAGGATTATTGGAAGTACTGATGGGGGTAGTTATATTCAGGTCTATAGCTGCTAGCAAAGGATTTACTAATTGTGGTAGGGGATAAACATATCTGTCTCTATTTTCAGAAGTGTGGTGGATTTTAGTGAGCTTAAATACTGGGCTTTTTGGGTTTGCTAAAACTCTAGTGAAATAGGAAGAAAGTAAAAGCTGGCGTCGTATAAAAACAGGAGGTTCCAAAGCTTCAATGCACATGCTTTCGGCGGGGCTAGATAAAAATGCACCTAGGCATGTACGTAAGGAGGTCGTTTGTATTGAATTTAGAGGTTTAAGATAAGTTTTACAGGCGGTCACGTAGACCATGCATCCGTAATCTAATCTAGAGCGAATAAGAGCTCTATGTATTCTCAGTAATATATCTTCTTCGGCTCCCCATTGATAATGTTCAAGTGTTTTTAATATGTTTAGTTTACCAGCACAGTTGTCCTTTAGATTTTTTAAATGTATTTTCCAGTTTAACTTCTGATCGAATATTAGTCCCAAGATTTTATAATTATTTACTGGAGGTAAAGGAACATGGTTTAGATATATTTCCGGGTTTTAAACGCTTTGCTTTTTGGTAAATCGTAGCAACTTAGATTTTGAGCTGGAAAGTTTGATGTCGTGTTGTGTGGACCAAAAATATACGTTATTTACAGCATTTTGAATAAGATTTGATGTACTGGATATGCTTGTTGAATCTTAATTTAAAAGATAATTTGATTTAAGATAATATAAATTATTTTTTGAGAAATTATCTTAATTTTAATAATTAGAGCAAGGTTATCTATATAATATAATAGTTTTATTGTACCGATAAATATCTGACACAATAATATGTATTTTTATCATCTCCTTATCTCTACCTGAAAATATTTGTGTTATTTTGTTATGCATTTATAATTATTTTATGAATTCTCTAAAACCGGATCTGCGTTTCGCTTTTATAAAACATAAATGAAGTAACCGTGACACTTATTCACATCGTAGTGTTCTGTTGTACACATACAATCTGTAGCGATGGAGCGAATTAAAAATTTTGAAGAACTAATCAGAGACTATATCGGTCCTAACAAAACAATAATGGAAAGCAAAGCCAGCGATTTGACGGCGCCTGGAGAAAACTATTTAAGTGATATGATAAAAATCGATGTAGTTTTAAAAGACAAAGTTAGTAATAAGACTGAAGATTTACATTTGGTAGCAAAATTAGTAACTGATAATCAAGTGATGGGGCCTACATCTAATCTGACTAAAGCCGAAGTATATTTCTACAAAGTTGTTGTTCCAGCGATAAAGGCCTTCCATAAAAAGTATTCGTTACCGTATCCGTCGTTTTATCCAGACTTTATAGGAGGTAGAATTAATTTGACAGGGGAAGCTGACAAGGCTGATGAAGATGCTGTTCTTATTCTGGAAAATTTAGTAACAAAAGGTAAGAATATTTAATATATACTTTTATTGGTAATTTTTTCACTTTTTTTAAAGGTATTTAATAACAAATGTAAGTAGTATAATATTTATAATCTTTTTACTTTTTTTCAATAAAAATTACCTATATGTTATGTTTACTCTGTACACTATAAATAATGCTGCATTATTTGAGGATATTTCTTTGGCCAGTTCACTAGCTTACACACATTTTTATATAATAGTACTGTTTTTAATAGTCATAGATTTTAATTGCAAAAAAGTGCATAACATACTGCTATTGATAATCGAACAATGTTGTTTCTATGTTATAAAAGATTCAAGCATTAATTAGCATATCATATTAGTTTTATTAAACAATTTTACCGTTATAGTAACGTAATAGTAATTGTTGATATGTAAAATTATAGTGTGATAATAATTAATACAACCAACTCGTATCAATTATTGCTGAGTCAATATAAGATAAGTGGTGCATTATTATTAGATAAATATAAGAGGAAATAGATTTCGTTACAGGGACGGTCCAACATACAATTGCAATAATTTAATTAACATAATAACAAATAACAGATACAAATTATCTTTTCCTGTAGGTGCCGTCTCCAATGAAGATTGGCGTTAACCTCTGCAAATTCATCTCTATCCTTTTCTATGCTTTTCTTACTATCCCTCATAATACCAATTTTTTTTATGACAAATAATACAAATGAGGTAAATAGTGACCCCAAAGCTTTTCATCAAACAGTGTAATATCATCATCAGTAGCTCGACAGCCCTCTCTTGGTCCTGGCTCGTTCTAGGATTTTCCGCAATTCTGTTCTGTTCCGTGCTTTGTTTTTCCAGTTGGTAATCTTAAGTGTTTTCAGATCGTGTTCCACTTGTTCCATGTATCTAAGTTTGGGCCTTCCCTTTGACCCTCTCCCTACTAGTATTTGGCTGCATATATGTTTTGGTGTTTCTGTCTCCAACATCCGTTCAACATGGCCCATCCAGCGCAGACGTCCGATCTTTATGGATGTTATGACCTCGGGTTCATTATATGCTGTGTATAGTTCAAAGTTATATCTTCTGCGTCATATGTCATTTTCCTTTACCCCCTTAATATGTTTTTAGTGATGTTGTTAGATCTTAAATGTTTAGTTAGTCCATTATATGTTTTATTCCTCTTTTAATTTCTTTACTGACATTGTTATCTGCTGTAACTAGTGAACCTAGGTATTATATAAAATTTTTAGCGCTTTAGATGTTATAGTCTCCTATTCTCAGATTTTTTAGGTTTCTTTGGCCTGTCGATTTACTGGCCTTCATTTATTTACTTTTTATTTTGTTAATGTTTAGGCCACTGTTTTGTGCCCTCTTTCTATCGCATTAAATGCTTCTATCATATCTTTTTCGCTTCTTGCTATGATATCAACATCATCTGCAAATGCCAATTTTGTACACGTTTTGTTATTATTGTTCCTTTGGTGTTGACTTTAGACTCTCTTATTTTCTCTAATGTGATGTTGAATACAATAAAGGATAGCGCATCTCCCTGTCGTAGGCCCGTTCTTACATGGATTGTATCTTTTAGTGCGTTTTGAATTCGAATTTTGCTTTGTACTTTAAGTGTCTCTTTTACTATATCATTAAGTTGAGTTGGAATATTAAACTTTTCCAGAAGTTCTCGATGGATGCTATCATAGGCACTCTCAAAATCAATGAAAATAGGATGTCTGTCTATATTAAATTCATTAGTCTTTTCCAAGATTTTCCTCAAGACAAAGATCTGTTCTATTGTGGACTTCTGCCTGCAGAAACCACATTGATATCCCCCAACTATTTGTTCCGCATATGCTCTCAGTCTCACACAATATCTGACAGTATTTTATATGCCACAGTTAGTAGCGATATTGCCCGGTAGTTTTTACATTGAAGCTGATCTCCCTTTTTATGCAGTGGGATAACTACTCCAGTATTCCAGTCTTGTGGCAGTTGTTTATTATTCCATATGTTTACTATTTTAGGTCGTATATCGCATTCAATAGGAAGTATCGCCTTCCTTTATTAATTCTGCGCTAATGTTGTCTAATCCAGGTAACTTGACTTGTAGTATTTCAGTCTGCTAACTGCTTCTTGCATTTCAGCTACTGAAGATGGGTTGTTTCTCTCGTATCCGTTTGATCCAGTATAATTCCATCATATAGTGGATCTTTGTTTTTTTTAAACTTTTCTTTGAACAATTCTATCCATCTTTGTAATAATTTTTCTCTGTTGAGTTACTATATCTCTTATTTTGCCTCTGCACATCATTGTTCTTGGTTTAAATTATTTTTTACTTTTGTTTTTGGTAAAATTTTTTTGGTAGAATTTTCTGGTTTCTGATGGTTTATTTAGTTCTTCCATTTATTGGAGTTCTTTTTCTATGTATTCTCTTTTCTTTCTGCGATGTATTTTCTTCTTTTCCCTCCTTAGCATTCTATATTCCTCCTCTGCCTTTCGTGTTCTATGTCGTTTTTGTAGTCGTTGATATGTATTATTTTTCCTCTCTGTTACGACACTCGTCATCGAACCACTGTCCTTCAGTTGATTTGAGCTTTTTTTAGACCCAGTGTCTCTTTGACTGCGTCTGTTATGATTCTTGTTTTTACACGCTTCCCATTCTCTGTTTATATCCTCGTGCTTTTGCCTACTTTCTAGCCTTCCTTTTATATATTTTTTTTATTATGCCTTTTTGCTGTTGTCTGCTAAGTTTTTTATTTCATATTTTTCAATTTTGGATCCCTTTTCTTTTTTAATGTTTCAGATTCTGGCTCGTATTCTACTTTCCACTAGGTAGTGATCCGAGTCTGCTTGCCCTTCGACTGCTGCATACGTTTATTACGTCTGAGTGATGTTTAATGTCATTAATAACATGATGGATCATGTTTACTGTTACCCCATCTTGAGATTTCCACGTACCCTTATGAATATTTTTTCGCTGAAAGCATGTGCTGCCAATAACCATGTTAAGAGAAGCTGCTAGATTTATTAGTCTGATGCCATTGTCATTGGATACCTCATGAAGGCTGTGCTTATCTATAGTTGGTAGGTATGTTGCTCTTTTTCTATTTTGCGTTGTGATCACCATAAATAATTTTAATGTCATTCTTTGGGAATGAATGGTATGCTGCTTCTAGTTCTTCATAGAATTTTTCTTTGACATCGTCTTACTTTTCCTCTTAGGGGCATGCAAGGGCATTTCGTCTTAAGATGCTATAATTAAAAAATGTCTCAGGATGCACATTCTAGAGCTCATAGCACGAAAGTCTCTTATAATGTGTTTAACTTTTTTATTTACCTAGTGCTAGTCCTAATGGTGCCACACCAGGTCCATCTTATTTCCTGCAGAGCTGTTATATCTATGTCATATCTATTTAGTTCACCGGGCAGATTATCAAAATCAAAATGCATCGACTACTATGGCAATTATAGGAAAAATAATTACCAGAGTATGCTACTAGAGACCTCAAGTGAGGAAAGATTTAGAGACACATTTAACTTTATAGAATTAATAGTTTTACAAACTGTTTGTTGTACATTTAAGGCAAGTAGATATGTAATGATCCTTACAAATACCTCAATTACACATGTAACATCTTTAGGAACAGTTTCTGCCCAAATTTCTGAGGTATTTCCAATCTCTACCACGTTTTGATTTCCCAGATTTTTCCGGATGGCCTTGTGATGTAGAAGCTTTATTTGCGCTTGTTTTAGTAACAACTGACTCTTTTCTAAGTACTTAAGAAATTCGTGTCGTTTGTAATCTTTCTTATTTTTCACTTTTTAGTTAGATGACACCATATAATATATGAGTTCAATGCGCTAATGTCAATCATATTATAAAAAACTATCCCGGACCATCTTCTTCTTTGCCTTTTGACTGTGTATATTTAGCCAAGCTTGTATATGGTGTCTACACCTGACTTTGTTTTATTGTAATTAAGAATTATTTGCGGTTTTTGTTTTTATCTTTCAAATTTTTACCACTATTCTGTATAGTTAATAGCAAAGTAACAATTTTCTCTTTTTTTGGGCAGTAGGATGCTAACATAGCTTTATGTTGGTAACCGAATTTTGTTATCCTACTACGTGCATTTTTTAATTTCTGTAGAAGTTCTGGCTAATTTTTTATTGTTCCAAGCAATGTTAAGTTTTGATTGTCCACTTCTCTTACAAGATTAAGGCTTTAAAAAAACTATCTACAGTCACATTTTTTCCTGATCTTTCCAGTACAATTCTTTAAGAAAACCCGTCTTAGTTGCGTTCATGTTGATCTCCGGTTTTACCACTATATATTTGGCAATTATACACATATGAATTTTGACTGTCGCATGCTGCTCAGATCTTTCCAGTCCAATTCTTTAATAAAACCCCTCTTAGTTGCATTTACGTTGATCTTTGGTTTTACCACTATATATTTGGCAATTATACACATTTAAAGTTTGACTGTCGCATGCTGCCCAGATCTTTTTCCCCTACTTTTTGGTTTTAAAAGTATATATTTAATAAATGGGCCCCTACTAAGGAATGTAGGCAGCTGTTCATCGACGTATAAATATTCGTAGGATATATGTGAATCTTATGTAATGGTAATGTGGATAACCATTATTCAAGAAGTTTCTAATTGGTAATAATTTTTTTAAATGTTAGGAAATCATTGGGAAATTGTGGTGAATCTGTTTCTGCTCATAGTTTTATTGAATATTGGGCGTCCATCCTCAACATTTCTCAAATTAGTAATTTCTTCGTTATTATATTTGTAAACTCATACTAATATCAATAAGCCAACAAAACGCAAAGCATCCTTAGCATTGATATTTTTCCATAAATCTTCATGCTTTAGTTCACCTTCTGCATGAGTCCATTATACTACTTGGTTTACATTATCTTAAAAAAATAGGCGAAAACTATTGTACAGTAAAATCTTCTTCACTAATATCGCCTGAATAAGCAGTACCATCCTCGTCAACTCCACCATCA